GAACCCAGCCTAATGCAGGGGCTTCCGACTGCCAGCCTTTATGTTAACAGGACCACCCCAAACCAAAACTTCATTGCCATCAACTCTATTTCCACTCACAGTGACCTGATACAGGGTTTCCCAGACTGAGGGCGAAAGAGGAGGTTGTCTGCTCCTATAAAGATCGACAGTCGTGGCCAGTTTAATTTCCAGCCTGGCGATTAGCACCCTAACGCATGGTCACTATGCCACCAGGGCTCCTCTAGAGAACCCTACAACAACTTGCAAACCTGTCAGGGTCTCCATCATATTTTAACTCCTTCTCCTCTTCTAGATATGGCCCTATTTCTTTTGCCCTTTTGAGTGAAGTTTTTGGAAGAAAAAAAAGGACACCTTTAGCTCCTTTGACACCTCAGCCCACTGAAACCAAGCTTCTGCGTGGCCAGCAGTGCTAACCTTGCGATTTAGTAAGGTACCTGATGACTCCCCCATTGTCACAGGTAACTGATAGCCTCCCCCATTGTTAGTGTTTGACTCTTGAATGTGACCTTCATGTACACAACACTATTTGCCACATCCTCTCTTGTGCATGCTTGCCCCTTGAGTTTCTGTGCCCCACTCTCCTCAGCCTCTTTCCTTCCATTTCATCTCCTGTGTTACCTCTCTCTAGAAAAATCCCTCTGACACACCAACTGCATTATTCTGTGCTGTGTCCCCAATGAAACTGTGAGCTCCCCAGAGGCAGAGCTGGGACTCCGTCTTTGCACCACCAGCGCCGGTGCAGTATCACATAGGATAGCTTATCTATCAATATTTGTGGCGTTGAAGTAAATACAAGCACGAAACATTTAAGAGCTCTACAGTGCCTTTCTCTCAAGGACTGCAAAATGTTACAAAGCAAATATAAGCAGAAACATGTTTATAAGAAGATTCAAAAGATGAGCTCATGCAAACATGTTTGGAGAGTTCTAGGTGAGGGGAGATTTCTGTCCTTTACCAGGTTACTGGACCCGTCAGGAATTCATTAGGCTGTTTGGAATCAAAAACCCAACCTCAGTGGCTTAAACAAACAAAAAGCAACTAATTGCCATCGACACATAACCTCCCTATAGGACTCAGTAGAGCTGCCCCTATGGGATTCCAGAACTGTGACTCTGGTCTTCCTCCCTCGGAGCAGCAGGTGGTTTCAAGCTGCTGAACTTGTACTTGGAAGTCCAATGTATAACCTCTACACCACCTGGGCTCCCACTTAAACAAAGAGTGGTTTTTTCCCAACATGAAAAGTCGAAATGGCAGTTGGCTTTGCCACATGTGTCCAGCAATACCACATGGACTCTATCTTCCACTACACCCTCCCAAATACATGAGCTCGTTGGCCTTGGGGTCATTGCCTCTTGATTGTAAACTGGTGGCTGCGGCACCAGTCACCTCATTTGCATTTAGGGAAAAGAGTGAGACAAGGAAAGGCCAGAGATGGGAAAAGCTGTTTCAGAAGCTCCCCTGCCCACCATCAACTTCTTCTTTTGGCTCATTGGCCAGAGCTGGGTCAGTGGCTTCCTTAGCTGTAAGCGCGGCTGGGAAATCAGGAATGGGGTCGTCACAGTCGTCTTGGACCACTCATGATTCTGAGGAAGGAAAGATGGATGGCTTGGCTGTTGGTAAGGCCGATCACAGTGTCTGCCACTGAAAAGATAGGACCCATCAGGAGTTGCCAGTGCTGCCCTGTAGTGATCTACATCCTGTCCGGCTAGCTAGGAGTGACTCCTTCTCGAATGCCCACAGAATCAAGACCCTGCTGCAGTGCAATCACTAAGGCCGAGGAAGGAACTCCTGTGTCACCCACACCCTCAGGGCTAAGATCCAAGCTGCACAGCCCTGTTCCTCCAGCTGTGCCCCCAAGGCTTCCTGAAGAGCATCCTCGTCCTCACTGGCCAAAGTAGAGACTCTCCTCTCCAGCCAACTGCAAGCACATCAGTCCACTATCCATCCTCTGAGTGTGCATGAAGGGCTGTGGGAAGTAGTGGAGAGATAATGAGCCACTGCACTGGTGACAGAGGGGAAGGGAGGTGATGAATTTTTGCACTAGGTGACAGGTGACCCCAACCCTAGTGGCATTACTGCCTTGATAGCCTCTCTCTCTGCAGCAATGAACCCTGAGGTCATTTTGGTGTCACCCCCCCTGACAGTGCCCACCCTCCCACACACCCCTAACAATGTCACCACTCCACAGGCAGAAATGCTTCTGGTGGATATGAGACATTTGGACAACTCAATATAAGGCCTTCTGGAGTTTTCAACACTAAGAGTCCAGATTCTCCAAATGCTTTCTCAACTTGGCATCTCTCCATCCTTTCCCATTAGTGGTATTAAATTTTATTTTATTGTTTTATCCAAGCAGCTGAAATCTATTCCTTAACATACACGAAAGGCATTCCATCCAATCAAGTCATGGCTGGGCTACTTGGCAGAAGGTCTGTTACAACAACTAAAACTTACTGCCATCGAGTTGGTGCTGACTCATTGTGACCCTATAGGGCAGGGTAGAACTGCCCTTGTGAGTTTCCAAAACGGTAACTGTTTTCAAGAAGAGAAAGCTCATCTTTCACCCTCAGAGCACTGGTGGTACCAAACTACTGACCTGGCAGCTGGCAGCCCAACTTGTAATGGGCCTGTAGAAATGGCTTCCTTTGGGATTCGAATCCCAGGGTTCAGTGAGGCCTGGCCTGGCTATCAGGAGCTCAGGGGAGTGTGCCTGGGTAACATTTCAGGTTTTTTCATTTTTTAGGAGCAGGCATCAATGCAAAATGGCTTATGAATTTTAGGTTGGAGCAATATTTCAGGTTTCGTGCCCACACCCTTTTATTATGTCTCTAAAGGAAGAGTGAGTGGCTAGGAGGAGGAGGAGCCCAGACCAACTGGTGGGCAGCAAATACCTCACTGGATTCCATGGGCCACATATCACATCCCTCTTCACTGAAATCGAAATAGAAACCATGTTCTTGACCACACAAGGGTGAAAGAAATCAGGAGGAAATTATAAATCCTTGCTATAAATATAAGCCTACACAATGTCAAGCTAGACACAAGAGAAATTAAGAAATCAGCCAGCAACCCATGATCTGCTGCTGACGCAACCTTGCTTTGCTGACAGCTAAGAGGTCTTGAAACCCTTTCTGATGGAAATTAAAGACAAGAAATCAAAAGCCGTATTGTACTGGGCTGCCACAGACCTCTTCAATGCATTAAAGAGCAAAGATCTTAATCCACTTTGAGGACTAAGGTGTGCCTGTCTCAAGCGGTGGTGTTTTCAATTCCCCAACTGCATGGGAAAGCTGGATAATAAGTAAGGAAAACTGGAGAATAACCAGTGCATTTGAGTTATTGTGTTAGCCACGGATACGGACCATGCCATGGATCGCAGGAAGAAGGAACACATCTGTTTTGGGGGAAGTACGTGCTTACAAGCTGGGATGCTAAGACTTCACTCACCTGTCATTTGGACCTGTGACTAAGAGTGACCGGTCTTGAGAGAAAGACACCAATCCTGGCAAAGCAGGGGGTCGGTGAAAAAGAGGATGACCCTCAGGAGTCGGATTGACATAACGGCTGCAACAATGGGCTCGAGAAGGACACCTGTGCCGATGGCCTGAGGCGGGAACAGTGTTTTATTTCGCTGCACATAGGGCTTCTCTGAGTCAGAACCGACTCGCACAGCACCGAACAAGACCTGCTTGGGTTCCATACTTTGGGAACCCAAGCTCCCTGCCATTGGGCCCATTCCAACTCATAGTGACCAGCGGCTGCAAAATCTGAACTGAGAGCGGGTGGCAGTCCGTGTTTGAGCAGGAGATCCTCCGACTGGCCTTCACTAACTGCCCCCTCTCACCCGGAGTCCCATGCATTTTAGACAAGTATCTGCCTCGCACTGAAGCCGGGTCTCTCTCTCTCTCTTTCCTCCAAGATCATCCCACACTCTCGCTCCACATCCCAGAGGGCCTGCAGACTGCCTGGCTCCTGGTAGATCCTCAAACAGGAAAGGGCCAAGTCCCGGAGTATCTCCTTGGCTTCCCCACTATAAAAGTGCGGGCATTCACATCACCACCGCTGCCGCCTCCAGGAGGACAAACAACAGAAACCATGGGGGACAGGAGACAGTGATTGGTGTAAGATATGAAAATAATAGTAACTTACAATTTATCAAGGAGTCATAGGGTGGGGGATGGGAGGAGAAAGAGGAACTGATACCAAGGGCTCAACAGAAAGTAAATGTCTAGAAAATAATGGTGACAATATATGTACCAATATCCTTGATGCAATTGATGTATGGATTGTTATAAGAATTGTAAGAGCCCCCAATAAAATGAGCTTTTAATAAAAAATAAGAAAGAATGAGGGCATGAGAGAGAGGGAACAGTCACACATCCTGTCAGGCACCAACTTTTTGCATCCTTCAGGTTGCCTGACCATGTGATATACATTTACTGGACACACAATTAAAATAAAATTCTGTGTCTCAATTTTCATTTTCAAACACAATCTACTCTCTAAGCTACTTTCCCAGGCTGCCTCTTCTCCAATGATTCATGCTAACCCTTCTCCCGGCCCATAGAGTCAAGGCCGCCTCAGAGGAGCCCTGGTGGTGTAGTGGGTTACATTATGCTGCTAACTTCAAGGTCAGCCGTTCAAAACCACTAGCCACTCCTCGGGAGAAAGGTGAGGCTTTCTACTGCCCTGTGAATCTCAGAAACTCCCAGGGCAGTTAGATGCTCCGGGAAACCTCCCTTGGCCGCCCACTAATTAGGTGCTCTTCCTGTGGGCACTCAGGAGACCCCGGGGCACCTATGGAGGGTCCGAATTGCAATTGATTTGACCTTTCTAGACCGTGAACTCCGCGAGAGCAAAGGGCTTATCTTGTTCTTTTATGAGTCTCCACAGTTTACCCCACCTCTGCGCTTGGCGTCAATTTATGAAGGAGGGCAGGGGCAGTATTGGGCAAGAGTGTCGTCCGCACAGCCCCTGGTATGGGGGAATTCCTGTCCCAGGCCCTACTGTCCCCGCAACTCAGAGTAGGGACTCTGTCCCCACCGAGCGCACTGGGCAGCTGGGACTCGCCTTCCGGGTTCCAGGGCGAGCGACCCCGCCCGCTCAGGACGCGTCCCTGCGCGGGGCGGTGGCGCGGCTCGCTCCCGGGCAGGAGCTGGCGGAGCAGGTGGGGGCGGCGGCCCCGCCTCCACGTCCCGGCAGCACCAGAGCTGGCGGCCGGGGAGCTAGCGGGACGCACCGGGCGCAGCTCCGAGCGCGGCGCGGCGACCGCGGCGCCGCCTGGGGCACCGGCGCTGCCGGAAGGAGCGCGGAGCCGGGAGCCCGGAGCCCGGAGGCGGCGGCGGCGGCGGCGGCAGCGGGGACCTTGCCTGGAGCTCGCGTCCTGTTCGGCCCTGAGCCCGGATCCCCGGCCCAGCCGGCCCGGCCCGGGCAGCTGCAGGTAGCGCCTCCGCGCGCGGGTCGCCTCCGCGTCTTAGGGCGGGGAAGGCGGTGGCGGCCAGGCGGCCGCCGGGGCCCGTCCCGGGACAAAGTGGCACCGCGGGAGTGGGGGAGGGGTGCTGTGCTGGTGACCATGACCCGGGGGTCTTCCCAATCCGGGCTGCAGCCCTGGCACCTGGTCTGGATCGGGGTGTTGCGCTGCCCAACCGCCTGCCACTCGCTCCCGTCCGCGCCGCGCAGCCACGGCTGGGCCAAACGGGACCGCGGGGGGAACGAGGTCACCACGGGGCTGTCCAGGGACTTCCCTGGACACCACTCTCCCGAAAGCAGCCCTGGGCGCCAAGGCCGTCTGGGCCTGGTCCTTCCTTCTTCCCTCGCAGATTCACCCCAAGAACAAAAGGCTGGGGTCTAGCCGAGGAGGGGACAGTCGCAAGGCAGGGGAGGGGTAAAGAAAAGCTCCGAAACTGTAGAGCTGGAGGTGGTTTGAGGATGCCTGAGCAGTCCGGGAGAGGAAGCCGACCCCAAGCAAGTGACATGACTTGTCCAAGGTCACATGGTTCTTGGTGACAGAGCTAAGTCCAGAGAGTAGGTCTCAGGACTGTCCTCCCAGCGCTCACCTGCCAGCCCTTGAGGTCAGCGCGAGGTGATAGATTCTGCAATGTCGATCTGACCACAAAAGGGCTTTAAGGGGGAAGATGCCAGTGCTTTCCTTAGGTGCATACTTGGGGGAGACAGCAGTGGCTTAGCAGGAGTGGGAGAAGGGGCCCCTGTGGCTGCCCTGATTCCCGGGAGATCCTAGCCTGACCCCTAGAGCAAGCAGGCAGGCAGAGGCTAGGAGGAACGGTGCCTTCTTGTGGAGCCTGGCCAGCCTCTGGGGCGTGGGTGTGCCCGCCCGCGGTGGGGGCAGAGTGGGGATCGAGTGAGCGCTGCTCACTGGAAAGAAGTTCCGTAGCACAAGGCCAGGAGAGCTGTTTCCACCCGCGCAGCCTGACAAGTCCAAGCCACAGCGTCCTGGGCACTCAGGGTGCCGCTTTTCCACCAGCTTCATGGGGAAGAGAAGTTAGTCTTGTAGTCTTGTCGCAGGAAGTTGGGCTGTCACTTTGTCTGGGCCTCCTTGGCAGTAAAATGGGGGCATTGTGTTTAGAAAGTTTGTGCTTCTGGCATCCAGAATCCTTTGCCACTTCAAAAGGAGGAGTGGGCATGCGTTTCTTGGGGTCAGCACTAGGATTTTCACTGGGAGGCCTGCCTCCCACGGACACTCTTAGTTCAGGCTGAGTGAATCCATGAAGACAGAAGTCAAAAGATGGGCTGGCCTCAAGCCATGTACTGACCTGGACCATGGGCATGTGGTGCTGCAAATGCATACATCACCGGCCCCCTACTCCCCATCTGCCCCCCACCCCTGGCATGCACACACTTAGATCTCAGAAGCATTCACCTGAATGTGAAAGTCATTTCAGACCCATGCATAGCAAGTGGAATTGCACTCCACACAGGCTGATCATGGCTGGGACCTTTCGAAAATAGATTGCCAGACATTTTTTTCCTAGGGGTATGTTAGAACCACCTGTCTTTCACTTAACAGTTGAGTTTGTAACTGCCTGTGCCACCCCAGAGACTTCTACACTGGTGTGCACCTGTAAAACTTAAGAAGATGCGCATGTCAGATGTGTGCACCTAGCTTATGTAACTTTCAGTTCCATAAACAGTCGATAGAAATGTGATGTTATTACCCACTCACCGTGGAAGCACATGGATTAGTGCCCTCCTGCAGCCAGTGTAACTTGGAGATGCCTTTAAAACCCAAGGGGTCCCTCAGTGGGGCCAGAGGCAAAACCCTCAATGGAAAGGTTGCTGGTTTGAACCACACAGACGTGCCTCGGAAGAAAGGCCTGGCAACATGCTTCCAAAAGGTCACAGGGTGGGAACCCTAGAGAGAACAGTTCTGACGCACATGGGTTGTCATGGGTCAGAACTGACTTGGCAGCATTTGTTTGTTTGTTTTAAAAATCCACAAGACAACCAAATCAGAGAAATGGACATGATGGGAAGGGAAAGGAGAGGTGAGGCGTCATGGAAAGTAGACCGGTGTAAAGTACATTTTCACAAAGTGGCTTGACCTGGGTACACTCCTTACAGCATGTACTACTGCGGTGACTTTTCGCTAAACAGACGAGACCATCAGAGTGCCCAGACGTTCGGGGCCTTACCCAAGGCAGCCGGCGGGAAAGAACGTGGGTACACAGGCTTCTTTTCTGCGGGAGGCCATCAACATGTACTTATGGATCCCGGTAGGGTGATCAGAAACACGGCGGCATCAAGGCTGGCTTCCTGCCAGGCTCCCCTTTGTTCCTTCCAGGAGTCTCTGCCGGGAGCGTGCCATTGTATCACAGGCGGAGGTTCGCCAGCAGCAGAAGGGATGGAGGAAGTGTATGTGTCTAAGAACATACAGTTTTAGGAACAGCAGAGAGCCAGCTGGTCCCGCTTGGCAACGCTCTTTTTAGGAGATTTATTGTTGGGAGACCGTATAGTACAGGTTGTGATTTTGCAGGCACATGCACACACCCCCGGAGAATAAATAACCGAGAAGCAAGCTGAGAGCCCAAAGGTGGTTAGCTCTGGAGGAGAACTGGTAGGATTTTCACCGGGGACCAGTCAGTGTTTCTGACCTTCCAGAATTTATAAATATATGGTATTAAAGTTAAAGGAAGGGGAGAAAAACCTATTAAAATAACTCCACAGAAGGTAGGACATGTGTTTCCTAACAAACGTGTTATGTATCTGTGTTGGATTTGGTGCATGAATACTTGAAATTTGGGGGTACGGTAACATGACAGCTGGAATCGTTGAGTAGCACAAAGAGGCAAGCACTGGGCTATTAGGCAAAAGGCTGGGGGCTCCAGTACACTGCGCCAAGTCCTGGGGAGTCATTTTGAAATGCACTAGGCGTGAAAGCCCTCCGGGGTACAGCTCCTCTCTCACCCTCACCTCGCTGCCACGAGATGGAACTGGCTTGACAGCAGAAGCCCTGAGAACTTTACCCTCCTGGGTGGTCTTTCTTGTGATTTTTATCTGTCTGCCTTCCATTCGGAACGTGGAGGGCAAGCTGAGGCAGCCAGTTCCGAATGGCAAGCGTCCACTGTGGTAGCACATTTGTCGAGTTCTTGGACTTAAAAGCGTTTGGGGTCACCTGGGGTGAAACGGGGTGAGTCCAGAGGCCCTCTGGGTGAGACTGTTCCATCACGTGCCACCAAGCGTGATTGTGCATCACCAAGTTATCTTTAGGCAAGTTTGCCTTGTCACCGTAGTCTCCCCGCCATCTGGCTGCTGGAATATTTAGAAAGGAATCATAATGTTTGACTGACTTTGCTGATAAGATGACAAAACAAGCTTGGAGAGGGAACTATTGGAGTTAGGGTTGGGTAGAAAGTGATTAACGATGTATCGAGCCACTGAACGAAGCAGAAGAGACACAAAGTTCCCCAGCGGATGCCGAACAGGTGCCGCGCATCTGTGTTCCCCCTGGCTCCAGCAAATGGGCCCTGGAGACTCCCACTTTGCAACTCTGCTTGGGCCTTTCCCCAGGCCTGTCCAAGCAGAAACCTGGCCGGTGTGGCAGGCTGCAGCGTGACTCACTCCGAGGGGAACCAGGTCGTGAGCGGCAGTGTCCGCCTGCAGCAGAGCCCATGTGGCAGGAGACTCCGGACATTGTTGGGGGAGATTTCCAAGTGCGTTTTGAGGGCAGTTCAACTCGTGTGGGTGATGTAATCTGGTGAGACTGAGTCTGGGGTTCAGAAAAGGGTCTCAGGCCTGCCTGTGGACCTAAGTTAGTGGGAACTCCCGAGGTTATCACTGGCCTCCTTCCCAGCTGAAGTAGTAAACGGCCGGGCTTGGTCCTTGAATTTCTAAATCCATGTGTCCATGGGGGTGCACACATGTGTCCAAGCCAGGCACCCAGGCTGCCATCCACTCTCCAAAGGGAACGGGCAGCTCTGTTGCTCACCACAGAGAGAGGGGAAGTCCTGATGCAGGCTGCAAGAGGAATGAATCTTGGAAACACGCTGAGCAAAGTAAGTCCGTCAAAAACCAGTGAGTGCTGTATGACTCCATTTTGCAAATGCATACAGAGCTAAGGTTATTAATAGTTATGGGGGTGGGGATGCAGAGATGGAGAGACTTGCTGCTTAAGAGACACAGTGAAGGGTGATGGGAAAGTGGGACCGGATAATGGTGCTGGTTGAACAACAGGATGAATACCATTAATGGCACTAAATTATACACGTGAAGAATGTGAAAATGGCAAAAAGTTTTGTGACATACATGTTGACCACACACACACACACAACCCTGATCCCTAGCGTATATGGAGGAATTAAAGCACTCCGCTTAAACCAGTGGTTCTCAACCTTCCTAATGCTGAGACCCTTTCATACAGTTCCTCATGTTGTGGTGACCCCCCCCCCACCCATAAAATTAATTTCGTTGATACTTCATCACTGTAATTTTGCTACTGTTATGAATCGTAATGTAAATATCTGATATGCAGGTTGTATTAGGTGACCCCTGTGAAAGGGTCATTCGACCCCCAAAGGGGTTGCCACCCACAGGTAGAGAACTGCTGAGTTAAACACGCAGTGCTAGCTGAAAGGTTGGCAGTTCAAACCCACCAAACATCCCACAGGGCTTAAGACCCGGTGACCTGCCTCCACTAAAGATTACAGTCTAGGACACCCCAAATCAAACACTAATTACACAATGCAACAACAAATCTGGGGCCGTTCTTCTCTGTCCTATCTGGTCACCCTGAGTGGGAATTGACCCAAGGACACAGCAATACAGCATGGAGCATGTATTGCATGGCAGGGACTAGGCTATGACTATTACATGTATGAAGTCATCACAGCAGTCCAGGCCAAACGGAATTCATTGTCATGGGGTCAATTCTGACTCACAGCGACCCATTGGACAGAGTAGAACTCCCCCTGTGAGTTTCTGGGGCTG